AAATAGAAGTCAATTACTTTTGCCAAGGTGGGTGGGAAAGGACAAATTGATAGAACTTGGAAGATGATACTTTTTTCTTAAGAAACTTATTTTCAACAAAAATGAGTCAGATCTTTCCCCTTATAGCTACAAGACGATGGTAAGGTAAGTGAAAAAAAAGAACTGTGAAGAAGGAAGGCTGCTTTTCTGTGTATGCAGAGAACATAGCAAACATGCAGCAGAGAATTCTGTTTCTCCCATCCAGAGATGGAAGGTAGTGGAGTTGAAAAAACTTCACAAAACTAGTAATTGAAAGACTGAAGTATTTATATTAGGCCATCACTCTTTTTTTTAACTCACGTGATGTATCTCTTAGGAAAGGAGCAAATAAAGCTTGTGGTCCAAACATCTAATTGAGGCTGTACTAAAATGGTTTGGAAGTGTGAAAGCACATGTGCTGCTTAAGCATTGTTCAGATTTTCACCCATGTTAATCCACCAAGACTGGAGTTTGCAGCTATCCCATGCAAAGAGCTTTCTGGGGAAACAAGAGGAGGCAGTAACTGTGACATTTAATGTCAATAGTGTTGTCACAATGGATTATAAATTCTGTCCTTTTTTCTCTAGTTAAATATGGCCCAGTAGTCTCTGGTTCTTTTTTGATGAATAAATGTCATAGAATCACAGAAGCAGAGAATGGGTGAGGTTGGAAGGCACCGCAGCAGATAACCTCATCCAATCTCCCTGCTCAAGCAGGATCATCCCAGAGCGCATTGCACAGGATTGCTCCAGATGGTCCTTGAATATTTCCAGTGAGGGAGACTCCACAACCTCTCTGGGCAATCTGTTCCACTGTGAGTTGCGACCCAGTGGGATTTGAGAGATGGTTCATGGTGGGTGAGGGTAAGATGGATGAGCCTTTCTTCTTCATATTGCTGTAAGCACAAGGCAGTTCGGAACACCACTATCCCCAAAAATGTCTTTTGTGTTGGCACAAGAGTAAAATCTATGTGGACAAAACATCTAGAAGAGCTAGATTTTGGCAGCAATGGAAGCATTCTGTTCATTAGAAATCTAAGACTGCTGCCTTTGAGTCAAATACTTTTTGTGTAAAAGAAGTAATGTAAAAATTTGAGGTTCTCTAAGGATGCAAAATATAGAGAGTTAATTCCAAAAAGTGCACAAGTGCTGGATTTTAGCTGGCAGCATATATGGGATGTTTAGATAATACTGGTAGATAGCCTTTTAAACTTTGTATTGCTGCTAGTTTGCCTCTATTACTGCATGTAAAGTCCAGTGCAGACCTATGTCCAAAAGATAAAACTGGAAATTTCAAGCACTTTTCAGCTCTAATGGGCTGTAAAATATGTTTAATGAAATGGCATGAACACACAACAACCTTTCAGCCTTGTTGCACAGTTTAGTACATAGTCAACAGAAAAGTACAAGTGCATAAATGCTACATCTCAAAGACAAAGAAATTCATTAACATTTTTCCTTTACATAAGAAGTGAAAAGAAGGTTGCTTTTAAAGGCAAAAAAATGTACTCTTATGTCATGTGAGTACATGGACATAACACCAACAAAGTAATGGATATTCTACCAATGTTAGACATAAAAATGAATCAAAATATATCACTGAAAAATTACAAGCAATATGGCTAATACGAATACAGTTCTTAGAGCCAAGATAATATACATACATCCCCAGCTGTAGCAGAAGTTAAGTCAAAGCACATTGCTGAGGTGAATGTCACTGGATTCTCCTAGCAAACAGCTCCAAATGCCAGTCATTTACACTAGACTAGTGAGACTCTAAAAAAGCAAGCACTTCCTAAGGAAGGTTCATGATACTTTTTTTTATGATAACTTTCTGACATGTACCCTTCAACTGTTGGGTACCCTGTACCCTTCAACTCTTTGCTCAAGAGGGTGTTTGCCTGCATAGTGCAGTATGCCAGGAAGATTGAACTCCTGGGACTTGCTGCATTTTACCTTTCTTCAATATCTTTGAAGGCTACATTAAGGCTTGTAACTGCATTAGAAAGTAGATGCTCCAACAGGCTCATACCAGGAATCCAAACACAGACAGTGTAACTACTATTGCCATTCTAATTTAGCGATCTAACCAAAACACACTATATTAGTAAGGGGTCTGTTTTTGAAGTGTTTCTGCATCTACGTCAGGGTTCCATGCATGGCTATGGAGAAGTTCCTAAGATCCTCTTGTACAGATAAGCTGTAATAACAGTGTGTCTGCTGCTCTGATAGTGCAGATAAGCAGCAAGCAGAGCATCATTCTCCAGCTATGACCAGCCACCTCTTCATCAGCATTCTGGAGAAAAACTCAAATTGCCCATGAATTTCTTCATTAGCTTTTTTTGATGGCAGAAAATGAAGCACAAATATCATGTTTGTTCAAAATTATAGTTGTAATACAAGGCATCTGATAGAAGCCTGATTGCAAAGCGGGTAAAAACCAGAGGAACAGAAGGTCTTTGACTTTTATGTCCTTTCTATTACATACATGACCAAACTAAAGAAATTATGAATCTAAATTTTGGTGACCAGTTGCTGGGGTCATATAACTGTCTAATCTGAAACACTTTCCAGGAACGTTGAACACCCACCCTATACCATGTTCTCCATGTACAGTAGTTAAAACACTTCTGTGCATTTCTCTTTAAAGGAGCAGATGTCCTGGAATGTTTTAACTAGTCTTTGGTAAAGTGCAGTGTTATGGAGTGCAATACAGAAAGTACCAGTTCTTGCATCATGCAACTTTGGCAATTACAGGTCTCTTGTTTTCAAGGTCTGACCTGTCTTGTATCAGTGTTTCTTTGTTTTAATGAGTCAGCAGCCAGACTCTGCCATGTACCATCACTGGGTATAGAGCCAGATTTGAAAAATGGAACTTAGAATGGCATTCAGCACGAGTAATGAAGTTTACAACTATTTGAGTGCTCTGTGAAGCTCTATTTCATGCTCTTATTTTAATGCACTTAAATCTGAGACCACTGTTTGACTGTGTCTATAAAGTAAAATTACTACTTTCACCAGAAGAAAAAAGGAGATGACTTTCTGAAAACTAAGGATACGTTACCAGGAGGGCTTATCTATCCTTTAAGTATCTATAAATTCAGCTCAAAGTTTAATTGTCCCAGTTCTGGCTGCTGAAGAGTTTTAACAATTTAGCCTTACATAGTTCCACATTTCTACTTCATCAGTATTAACTTCTTCATGAGCTTTTGCAACATCTGGTAATATATTTAATTCTGACACTACTAAAAATGTGTGCAATCAAGTAAAGCTTTTTGAACTCTAAGCACTTCTTCATACTAAATAATCTCTATTAATTTTTTAATTGATTTTTTTCTCAGACATGAGAAAATGACTGCATATGTCAGTTCTATTCCACTGTAGTGCTACAATCTTTTGAAAGGCAGCTGCCCTAGAGTAGAGAAATGCTGAGTGCTGAGCTGCTAAAGATATCAGCACCGAGTTTTATCTTGCCAGTCCTGCAAGAAAATTAGTCAGCCATTGTGTTCTACATCTCTAGTGCTTACTAGCTATAAGATGGTGTTTTTTATGTTTTCCTGTGTATTCTTCTTCCTGTTGCTAAATAATTCCACAATTTTTTTCCTGACAGGCGGATATTGGAAATTACTGATATTTATTACCTTCCAACAATTTTAATCTATATAAACATTTTTATTACAGAAGAAACATTTCAAAAAACCCATCTTTATTATTCGTCAACATAAATGGAGTTTGTGTTAGGCAAGTAACCCGTGCCTTGTGTTGAAAACTTATTTTGTTTTATTGTGTTTGTGTATTTCATGACAAAGAACTAGATTCTTTACTAATAGCAGTTAATAATTGCTTTATGAAATCAGTTTTCTTCTGTAACTACTTTTGATTTTAATGAATGTTGTACCATTCTAGCTGTCTCCTGTGAGATATTAGGCCTTGTGTATAAATTTACTGATCTGCATATAATCTTAAGTAATAATCTGGCAAGCAAGCAATAACAAAAAGGCTGAGTAAACAGTAACTATCAAATGTATGTAGCCAGTTTATGCATATCAAAATCCTTAGTTTTGTATTACTGCTAGTGTTCTGACAAGCTTGGGAAATTAACATCTAGGAGTCTGCTGTATTCTGTATTCTTCAAGAAACATGTTTTTTGTGCATTTTCTTATATAGTTTCATCATATTAGAAAGAAATTACATGTAAGTCTTTAAATTTACAAAGTGCTTTTGCTCTCTCACATGACTGCCACAAGGAAATGAAAGAGGATGTCATTATATCCATTGCAGTATGAAATAATATGGACTCCAAGTTGCCTTGATTGATCGTGTTTTATAAGGAATTAATTCATTACAGGTACATAAACAAGTAATGTGAGGTTAAAGTGTGTTGTAAAACGTAGTCACTTTTTGGAAGTAGATTTTAAAACTGCTGGTGAGGAAAACAGTTTGTAAAAGGACATGTAGTCAAAATTGTTTGGTTCATTTTGTGACAGATTCTTTTACATTACATTCTAAGGAATAGTTGTTTGAGGTTTTTTTGGGGTTTTTTTTGGGTTTTTTTGTGGGTTTTTTTTTTTTTTGTTTGTGTGTCTGTTGTTGTTTTGGTTTTTTGGGGCTTTTTGTTATTTTTTTAAAGAAAGGGAAAGATGAAGACAAAGGTGCTGTCACTTTTTACTCTAATTGATACTGAACAGTGTGTCACTACAGATCTATGTAGACCTGTGAAGGATTCAAGATGACTAGACCATAATGTATTAATCTGACTGCAAGAAGTAAAAAGCTTAAAACAAAAGCACATTCAGATTTATTAAGGCATTTCAAGGACCAGTTCTGTAAATTAGGCAGGAATACTTTTCAGCAACTGCTAATGAAGACATGTTTTTTTCTTTTATATGATTGTAGCTTTAAGCAAGTTAAGCATGTACAGGAAATAAAGAGCGAGCAGGAGTGAATGGAATCAGTATGTTGATGGTTTCAAATTTCATCTTTTCATGGTGAATAAGGTGGTGGTGACTGATCTGCAGCAATTTTGTCATAAGCTGGTGGAGCATCAGGTACCTGTGGTAAGGAAAATGGGTATGAAAGATCAAAAAATATCCCAATTGAATTATAAGGAAAATGACAACAATTATAAGGAAAATTAAACACACAGCAAGATATTTACCACCATATTAGATACAGTTCTATGACTTAAAGAAGCCAAGCTCATTCATTGTGTCTATTTTTTAAGGTTACTTTTTGGTAGTATGTTTTCTGGTTTTGCATCAGATTCACTTTATTGCTATTGTTCATCCAAAGAGAGAATTTTCAATGTTAAAAAGGCAGGAATAATTTTCTGATATATATGGGATGGTTTTAGATTGATAATTCAGACAAATATTGAAGGTTTTAAGAGTCTTGATGCAGGCATATTGTGGTATTTCTAGTGGTAAAAATTTAAGCACCTTATTTTAAATGTTTGAGGTTAGCCTCTTCTCAATTCTAAAGCAATTTAAACACACCCATTTATATATACTTATCACTTAATTTACCATTTTGAAAATTGAAAGTTTGAATACAATCATCTTTCTGTAATTAGAAGAGCTAACACATTGAAGTTTTATAATATACTCTGATAATGCTTATCAGAGTATAGTGTGTACAGACACAGTTTTGTTGTTTGTCTGAATGGCAGAAAATCATTTAGGGAGATGTTTGGGGTTTTTCAGTATTTTTCAGCATTCAGGTGTTGCATCATTCTAATAGATTGCAAAATGATCATACAGCTTAAGAATAAATACAAATTGAAGACAATAGTTTTAAAGTAAGCATTTTAAATAGTAGATGTAATATTTTTCTTTAGTTTTTCACAGTACAAATTTTTCCAAATACTACTTTCTAAGTTGATATTGAAGCACTGAAGACTTAAAGTAGGAGAGAATACACCATGGGAGAAATCATCAAGTGTCTGTTTAACAATATTATCTCACCATGTCTTACTCAGTTTTAAGTGAGGTCTTGACTTGCAACTTACCACAGAATTAAAGTCTCTGTAGTCCTGCAGAGCCATTTTGCAGTCCAGTATTTCTCCCTCACCTACCACGTTTCGTATTGTGCTCACACTAGAGCTTTTGCTCTGTGACAGATCATAAAGAAATATGGGAGGTGAAAGGAAGAAGAGATTGTGAAGTTGGTGCAAAACTTGACAGCACATATACAGTATGTATTGGAATCTGGGATTAGACACAATGCAAGTAAGAAAAATACCTCACCTAACACTTTTTGCTGTCTCTGCTGAGACATATGCTCTCTCTCCTGTGTAATCCAGCTACATTGACAGAAAAATAAGTACTGCATTTTTCAGACTGATGCAGGAACTGACATCTTATGTACCCAAATGCCTCCTGTTTTTTATGCCAGCTATTTTTTTCCTTAATCCCAAACCTTTTTGTTTTCCATTTTTTCAGCATTTCTTTTGTACACGTTCTGTACCAATTCTCCCCTAGCCAGAAATAGCCTAAGAAAAAATTGATTTTCAAAACCAGAAAGTAGAAATCTCTCACGAGATGGAATCAAAAAACAGATTATGCTTTTTGCCAGGACATGCAAAACAGACATTTGGTTTGATTTTTGAAGGGGTTTTTTGAGTATTACCTTCATTTTTTGCAACATTTCACTAAGAAAGTTCAGCTTTCAGGTATTCTGCCAGTTGATATATGTATTGGATAGATAACTGGATAATTGGAGAGAAAGAGACTGAGACAAAGTAACCAGAAACAGCAAGGAAATGGAGTTGCTGACTTAGATGAGACCTTTGCTGGGTTTTTTAGTCACAAACAGTTACTTATATCTTCTTCAAAATATTAGGTTAACTAAAAGATACTGTAAAACACGTATTTGCCTAAAGCTTTTCTTGGTTTCAGCTGGAGTAGAGTTCATTTTCTTTTAAACAGCTGGTACAGTGCTTTGTTTTGGATTCATCATGAGACTAATGCTGGTAACACAATGATTATTTGGTTTTTGTTCAGTAGCTCTTGCTCTAAGTCAGAGACTTTTCAGTCGCTCATGCTTTGCCATTGAGAGGATGCACGAGAAACAGGGAGGGCTCGTGGCTGGGGCACCTGACCTGGACTAGTCAAAGGGACATTCCACACTGGAGAACATCACGCTCAGTGTAAAAATAAGGGATTTGGCTGGGAGGAGCTGATTGCTGCTCAGGAATGAGATGGACATCAGTTAGGGGTGGTGAGAAACTGTTTTGGGCATCACTTGTTCCTTTGGGGTTTTAGTCCTCTCTTTCTCACCTTTTTTATGATGATCATTAGTAGTAGATGAATATATTTTGTTTCAATTACTGAGCTGTTCTAATTTAACTCCTGAAGTTCGCCTTTTCTTTCCTATTCTCCTCCACACCAGGGTGGCAGTGGGAAATAAGCAAGTGTCTACACAGTGATTAATTGCTGTCTGGGGTTAAACCATAACAAGCTTTCACTTGAAAGAATTAAAAAAGACCTCCCTTTCATAGAAGATGGAGCAAAACTTAAAAAATAAAGTTTTGGAACTTCTAACAGCAGTTGTTATGAGAGACATTGTACCTTTTTTTTAAAATAGCTTCTAAGAAGACACAGATGAAAATATTTTTAAAGTAGTCTTTAGAAAACAAATCTCAAACCTGTCCACTTTTTTGTAAATCTTAAAATTGCAAGTCGAATTTTGCATGGATGAATCTCACATCACCCATAGGTGAGCGTATTTACCTTCTCTTCTTCCTGGATTTACTCTAATTTACCCCTTATTTAGGGGTAAATCTTATGAACAGTGAATATATTACTTTTATTTAAATGAAAGGATACTGAATGTCTCTTCATTTTGTGTAAATATAAATAGAGTGCTTTCTACAAATAATTTTTTTTACTGATCTTACAAAATTTACAGATAAATTTTTTTATTGATATGTTGTGCAAAGTTGGGCAACTGGTTTCATGTCCCTTTGCTTCTGGTTCTTCTTACCCCTTTGTCTGACTTGCATGTTCTTTGGGGCAGGTTGTGTTTCATATGTGGTTTTGTCTGTGACATATGTCAGTGTAAATACTGCTTGAGATAGTGATGTCCTGTTACAGATTTTATGTTCTCTGCATTATTGTTATGCAAATCAAGGTAATTTGTTGTCAAAATAATAGCACGAGAGAAAATGAGCTGCCACACTTACCTGCAGACTTTTGTAGCCACTACGTCTTTTGTAATACCAGCAGCCAAAGGCAAGTAAAATTGCCAGCACCAAAATGAAAAGTCCAATACCCAGAGCTCTGTTGGGAAAGCAAAACAAAATTTGCTCCACAACTAAATGCATCCTCCCAGGAGCAAGTATGGTTAGACCAAAAGTTTGTGTCAGCAACTTTTTATCAGAGGAAGCCATGGAGCAGAATTTACTTCAGAAAATAGGCAAAGTATCAATAACCTCATTTAGTTTCTGTAGATTTAGCTGTTAGCTAATTTCTCTACCAAGTTCTTATAAACATTTTAAAAATATATTCATTTGAAAATAATTATCTACCAGTGACTACTAATTCCAAAATCATACCTGTCTGTAAGTCTCTCAAATCACAGCATTGTGATATTGCAAGTGAATGTGAATTAAATTAAATGCCACATCTGTAATGATGCAGCTCATGTTTCTTTGCTAAATTTCTTTGGGCAGCAAGTATTTAAAATGTATCATAATTGCATCATATTGCAACAACTTCTAATGAAGGAAGTTTTTTTTTTGACGCATAAAACACATTGCAACCTTAAAACATGAGTAAGAACCTTTGAATTATTCATAAAGAGTTCTATAAGGATTTAGTTCTTGCATGACATACCAGGCACATTGTTGGCATCACTGGGTCATTTTAGGGAAAATATGTTTTGCAAATTGTGCTGTAAAACACCCTTCCCTCACTGCTTGCTGAGGACTTGGCAGAAGCAGCACATTTCCACTTTACATCAAAAAGCAAGCTGACAAAGTAATTTCAAATTTCCTAGTCACAAAAAGCCTTCCTTTAGTTTTAATATCCTCCCTGTTGAGAAATACTGAATTCATTCCCCATTTTTTTGTTCTTTCCCTGTTCAGGAACAGAAGAATATATGAAATGATTAAGGGGAAAAGAGTATGGGGAAAAATTGCTGTGTGAATCAGGATAAACCCATTCTAACATACACAGAGTTCACAGCAGTCACTTTCTGATGCAGCCAAAGTTGTGAGATGGCTCCACTGGTTTTCCTACTCTCGCCAGCACAGTTGAAACTTGGAGGGACTACTTCTCCAGGCAACTGGTGCCCTCCCTACATTTTTAGACTTCTTGCTTGTCACATGTTGTGTTGTTTTAGCCATCCATTAGCCTGTATGCCCCTGTCCCGGTTTAGGGCAAATTTAGGAGAAAACCCAGGATGTGTTTCTGGAGCTGGTACTTCTGACTGCACATTTGCCATCTAACTCCTTCCCTAACTACTCACAGGCTAGTATGGAAAGTGTGTATGCAATTTCTTGCCATTCCAGTTAAAGCTGAAGTTCTGCTGCTAAGAATCTAGGGCTCATATCTGGAATACTTCTGGTACTGGAAGGAGAAGGTCACTTTTGGTACTGGAAGGAGAGGGTCACATATATAGAAAAACTACTTACAGATGCAGCCACGAGAATTCACAGCAGTTAGAGGTGAGCATGCCTAGTTTCAAGTGCTGAAATATGACTAGCCAGCCTTTTTTTTTTTTTTTTTTTTTTTTAAGAACTGAACTGCTTTGGATGGACTATTAGAGAGCTTTCCCCTTTGTTTCTTCTTTCCGCCAGGGCTGATGGGAGAGCAGCTATCTTGCAGTATGAGTGTTTGCAACAAGTCATAGTTTGGGGCCCAGTAAGCCAGTACTAAGACAATTCACATACAGATATTCCAAGCACACTGGAATTACTTGCCTTATGTAGTAAAACGAGCAGTTGGGTGGTGTCTCTAATAATCCCAGACCAAACATATTTTATTGTAATTCAAAGATAAAAAATATTTGGTAGAAACAATTTGGGAGTCATGTTTGTATGGCACTGAAGTATTTTGCTCTTTTTTTTAACCATTTCTCTGGGGGGTTTTCGCCATTCTTTAGGGTGAGACAATGTCTCTTTGAGGTTCCTAAGAGAGGTCTGTGAATCTAGAGATTTAGGGTACAGATCACCTTGCAACAGCCTTAGAAGTAAACTCTAAATAAACCTCAATAAACCTGGTAAAGGATGATGACTTGTGATCATATTATTTAACTCTAGATTCTTGAATTCTGCAATTCTGATTTTTCATATCATTGATGGCTCTCTAAGGTTGCCCCTTGACAAACATTAGAGAGACCTATAAGATAGTTAAAAGGCACTCCATCTATATACAACAGTGAATTTTTTTTGATACCATTTTCTGGTTTTCTTTCAATACAAATTTTTTCACCAGCTTACATGCTAACATAAGTTTTAATTCACACTTACTCTTCCACTGCAAAATAGACATGTCCTTTCCCTCTAAAGTGGTTGCTGTCCAGGTGGTTATATCTTCTGGGCATTTTGTGAGATTGGTCCTGCTCAAACCTACAGGGTAGAAACACAGTGTGTCAGTGTGATAAATAATTTGTTACCATTGAAGCTTAATATTTTCAGCTTCTTTGTTTTAATGTGAGCATTTTAGAGAGGCAGGATAATCTGAAATTTTCAGAATCAAGTAGATTCCTATACACACACAACTAAATTCCAATTTAGGATAAAGCTCAAAACCATAACTATAAGTCTACATATTAGTATCATCACTGACATCAAGGTGTTTGCAGCTGAGTGTAACAAGTTTGCAGAATTTGATGTGGTCTGTTTAGGTACCAAGCGATGGCAGATTTCTAAAGCAAAATTGAGAATATAGAAAAAAAGGCAATTTTCCTGGACAAGAAAAACTATTTAGAAGAAAAAGTAATACTGATCTTAACAATAGTTGTTTTTCTGTTCTGTAATTCCCTGTAAACACTCAGGGGATAGGTTTTCAGTCACTGGACGCTCTCAGAGATCTGTTGAATTTCAGATGGGAATACTGATTCATGTCTGCTGACAATCTAAACTCAGATATGTAGTAATTCATTTTATTTGTAAATAAAATTGTAATCTATATTACAATCTTTATTCCCAATCTTAAGGTGGTAATCACAGCTGTCTGAACAGTTAAAAATCTATTCCATCAAATATAGTGAAGAAGAAATCCTCACGTAATCATGTTTCTGTAATGTGAAGAGCACAACAACAGATCCTTACTTGATTGTATCCCACTAATCTACCCACCCTATACAAGTAAATTAGAAAACACAATGACTTTACTGAAGATAATTCTAGCCGAGGAAATAAAGCATATTGAGTTCACTTAGAGACAGTCAAGCCTCTTCTAAAACATAATTTTTAAACAAAGCTGAAAACTTCGTGTAAAACAAAAAATATAAATCTTACCTTCTTCAGACCTGTATTCTGTCTGTTAACTGAAGGCATATGCAGCTTTCTTTTACTTGGTCTGTTTTTTTCTCCTTTGATCTGTCCTCTTATGACTATCACGAGTTTAAATTCCTTTCAGTTCAGCTTCTGAATGCATTAATTAGCATGAAAGGGGCAAGGAGACAACTTCTCATTTTATTCTGCATCCTTCCCTCTTAAAAAGCAGCAGAAAAATCTGTTATTTCTTGATTAATTACATGTGCTCTGAGAGACAGCCCAACACCTTTTTACCTGCCCAATAAGCACAAGCTCCTAGAGTGGGCAGACTGTTTCTAGATTCAAACATGTTTTCATCTAAGGCTGCTTATATTATTAGAGAGGACTGGTATTTTTGCATGTATTTACTATAGCTTTGTTTGTGCAGTCTTTTTGCACCATTTTAACACTGTGCAATATAGTATATGTAGACCAAAACTCGTTATCCTGTGACAGAAGTGTCTTTGATTAAGGTAAGTAGAGTTTAATTCTATACTGAGAAGCAAATACTGCAACAAAAAGAGGGTACATCCCATGGGCTGCAGAACTAATGAAGCCGGGCTTTTGCCTTTGTTAACGCTGTAGTAATTCCATTTACAAGGTCAGGCAAGAAATGGCAGCCTGTGATTGATTCAAAGGTCTGGGTACTGTGATATACCAGCAGTTAGTTACTGCCAAAAGAGCAAGGAGATAAAAGAGCCATCTTCTGCTTGTCATTTGTCCTAATGAATCATTAATCTGAGCCTCTCTGTCCCTCTAAAATTTTTTTTTAAGTTTGAAGGATTAAACCTTTTTAAGGTTTTACTTGTCTTTGAAGCTGTGCACAGGGCTCTAAGTATAGTAAAAATGGCTGACACACTCAAGAGAAAATTCCTCACACAGGGCACCAGTTGTGGGAATACCAGTCATTGGTTTTTCTGGGTCTGCACTGAAGGCACTTGAGACAGTAATTCGTGTTTGGACTCAAGTGTTTATTATTTCTTATCAGTAAAACAATCTCACTACTCTGAGTTTGGCAGCTTTTCATTAGAAGGCACAAAATGGCTAACAATCTCTTGTTACAAGGTCTTTTAAGACTAAACTATCCAATTTAGAACTGACACCTAGATTATTTTCCCTTTTGACCCAATAACTGATCCCAAAGAGCCCGCAGCACATAATTTCTGCCCAATTACAACCTGCCACCCAAACCCATGGAGAAGAAGGAAGAAGAAGCATGAAGAAGAAACCCAGGATGACACCCTGTGCCCTCCATCTTGCTTCCATCCACAACATGCTAAAAATCCCAAAACCTAAATTTCTCACCAAGTAATACACGTACACTACTCTCTATAATCTATTTCAGACTTTTGAGGATTCTAGTCTATCTTGAAGTCTAAGAATGTCTTAGGATTCTAGTCTATCTTGAAGTCTTTCTCCATGAATGAGGGTCAAAGTCAGTGCTCCCCTGGGGGTCAGGGCACCCCAGAGCAGACAGAGAAATATTCCCAAGGTTTCCACAGGAAAGAACAGACAGTGTGATTGACCAACATTCATTTCATTAGGAAGTCAGATAAAAAGTATTAACATCAGTATTTTTTAGCTAGGATGGGGCTGATTCTTGTATTTTTCCTAATTATGGTAAAAATCTGACCTGTCTATATATTTTTTCATGGTAGTGCCTAGAGACCGGACCAGAGGCAGTGACCACAGTCTGAAACACAGGCTGTGCTCTCTGAACATCAGGAAACCCTTTTTTCTGTGAGGATGACTGGGCACTGGCACAGGTTGCCCAGAGAGTTTGTCGAGTCTCCCCCACTGGAGATCTGCAAAAGCCATTTGGGCACAGTCATGGGCAACCAGCTCCAAATGGCTCTGCTGCAGCAGGGGTTAGACCACAGGACCTCCAGAGGTGCCTTCCAAACTCTGTCATTCTGTTATTAATGCCAGATCTAGTTGGTTTTGCTAGACCCGGTAAAAGTTTGAAGCAACACGGTTTTTGCAGAGGGGAAAACAAAGGGTACAGGAAGAATGAACAGTGAGGAGCATAAATTTGCTAATTTGGGCAAGTTAACTCAGATGAACTCAATAGGAATTTCAAAGGTGAAAGAGATGCAGGGAAGTTTCTGTAAATATCCATGTATGTAAAACTGTAAGTGGACACTATTACAGTCTGTCAAGTTCCTAAGAGACATGCCAGCCCTTGTGCACTCTGAAATGTTGTAAAGTTCCTTATCAAATCATGTGTTTTCCTGAAGAAAAGCTTCACTTCTGGAAGAGGATGATAACTAAAGCTTGCTTGATCAAGCTGCCTGATCTTGTGAGAACCAAAACATTAATAAAGAAAATCCACATGATTTCTTCATGTAGCAAAATCAGTCTCTGACCCTTACATCCCTCAAGTGATGTGTAGGGTAAAATGTCAACTGCTTGAGTATTATGTGTTCTGAATGAATCTCTTGTTAATAGTATAACAGGAAAGGGAAAAAAAACCAAACAGTTTTGTCATGGATCTGTGGTGCCCTCTGGAATGTAAATGCAGAATGCTGCTATTGAGCATTTGGATGGATGAAGAGATGAAACACCACATCCTGCTTTTGATCTCAATCTTTTTACAAAATGTTATTTCTCTGATACAGTGCTGCTAACTCCATCAGTGTAAAGTCACTAGAGTTGACACATGGATTCCAAAGGTGTTTTGTTTTCAAAGATAACTTTTCAGGAGTAGAGGATGGAAGAGGAGTACTTTGGAGAAACCCCAGAGTAACCCAGCTTTTTTCTTACAGCCAAACCTGTGGCAAATCCAGGACACTCTGATGAATCTTGGTGAAATGTAGGAAATGAATGCTTCTGGTGTAACTAAAAATAACAGGCTTGACCTTTGAAAAAGAATAGCTGTTAGTTGGTTTTGTGCTGTTGACATTATGATCCCATCTTTCTAGGACAAGATTCTGGGATTTTTATTAATTTAATTCCTTAAATTGATAATTATTTTTCTCTGATATTTGAGGCTTCCTACAGCACACAGAGCAAAGAAAAACAAGTACAACCTGATTTAGTTTTGAATTTTATGGGAAACTCACAGGTATTTCACTGCTAAATCTACATTACCAGTAACACAGTACAGTAAGAGAAAATAAGGAATTATATCCCTTTCAGTTTGTCCTGAGGATCCTTGTCTGTCCATCGTTTGGGGATTTACTTTGAAGGAGGTGTTGTCTGGCTTCCATACTGAAGAACTCCACTTTAGGCTGGATTTGAAGCTTTTTGAAAAGAAGCTATTCCTCAACTTGCTTCTACCTTGACTGCAGGCCCCTCCAGGGAGCAACATGTCCTGTGCAAATGCCTTGCACAAGCACCATAAATATGTTCATCCTGAAAGCCTGGTTCATGACAGAAACTTCCTCCTCAATTAATTTCCAAATGAATCTGTGGTCCTTACTGTCAGACCCATCTCCCTCTGCTCCACCTCTAAATCTTACAGTAAAAGAAGGAATGGTAGTCTTAATCCCGTAGAAGCTGTGCCAAGAGAATGTCATGATTACAGTGGTGCCTTTGTTACTCTACCATGTTTTTCTAAAGAAAAATGTCTGAACAGCTTTCTGGCAGTTTTCCTTTGCTCCTATTTTGTCTGTGGTAAACCGGACAAGGGCATTGTTCAGATTTGTGGGGCTTTCTTCATGAGATGCAGAATGATCAGCCATAGGGGAAAAACTTTTGGATTCAGTTGGATGCTATCAAGGTGAGGTTGAATTGTTTCCCTTGCATCTAATTTCAGAAGGACATACCTGGATTCAAGAGAATGGTAGTGCTTTCCAAAGCCTCATGACCCTGTTTCCACTGAAACGAACTTTGCTAACTTTTGGGGTGAGAAACTCCTTACAGGTGGGCTGCTGATTTAGGCCTCTGAGGCCATCTATTGAAGAAAGTTAGTATAGTCAACACTGACTACATTCTTAGAACTTGGATCAAAAGAGTCCTTTGCAATAGGTTGCTCAGGGAGGTGGTAGAGTCACCATCCCTGAAGATGTTTCAGAGGCATGTGCACTGGACAATGTGGTTTGGATTTAGAGGTGACAGTGGC